CCCGGGCTCGGGCAGAGGGACCCCAGCAGCCGCTCTCCGTTCATCTCTACGCTTGGTCACCTGACTGGTAACGCAGGTTTACTGCGGAAAACAGATGAAACCCCGGGCAGCTCAGCAGAGAGCACACGGTCCCCCGGGCGGCCGCCGCCCGGCGTGCGCGTTCGCACGCTGACACACTTCCTTCCGGTCCTTTCACAGGCCGACTGGGGGCAGGTGCCGCTCAGCGGCAGGGCGCGCCCGGCACGCACAGGTCCTGGGCGCGAGCCGCCGCGCCGCCGCCAAAGGAAAACAAGGACAATTTGAGTAAGTAAGTAAGAGGCAGGCTGCAGCGCAGCTGAAACCGCGTTCTACACACGAGCGTGAGCCCTGCGTTCTCCCCTTTCCTTGGGTCAGGAATATTTTCTGTCTCAGCAAACCTCACTTTTAAGAATTGCCTGACGGCCCGTGGCATGAACACAGCATTTAGCTAGTATCTTCCCTGCACGGGATTACGAGTCGTTTCCAGCCTCCTGCTTTTAAAGTAGCACTGACATGAATGTCCTCGTACATAAGCTATGGTCCAGACTGAGATCGGTTTCCTTAGGATGAAGTCCTAGACGCGCTGTTATTCTAAAGCCAAAGTGGACGAACAGTTTTAAAGCTCCTGACACACGCTGTCAAACTGGCTTCCAGGAAGTGCGAGCCACTCCTGTCCCCTGAGGGCGGCCTGCGGGTGCTGGCTCCCTACGCCCCCACCAGGGTCACCTTCTTAATTATTATTACTGCTCCTCGATGGGCATGCCTTGAATCTCCTGTCTTTGTTAGCGGCGTGTTTCTTCTTTCATGGACTGTCTATCCGGGTCCCCTGTGCACGTGTTTATTGGGGTCCTAGTATTTTATCCTCAATGCCTGTGATCACTCTATATTTAGGATGTAATTCTTCATCAGATTTTCGGAATGATTCTCTCTTTTGTTGCCTATGAGAGATGTAATTCATAGAGGCAAATATTCCAGCCTTTTCTCTGCAGAGTTCACCCTTCTCACTCCAAAAATCAGAAAAATATTCATCTACATTGTCTTTGATTTTATCCATACATGTAACTATAAGCCTTTCCTCATTTATTCTCAGCTGTGATGTAAGCTAGAGACTGAATCATGTCCCCTCAAAACTTGTGTGTCGAAGCCCGGACTCCCAGTGTGAGTACATTTGGAGATGGGCCCGTTAGGAGATAATTAAGGTTAAATGAGGTCATAAGGGAGGGGCCCTGACCCAAGAGGACTGACGTCTTTATAAGAAGAGATGCCAGATCCCTCTCTGTCTACACACCCAGAGGAAAAGCCAGGCGAGGACACAGCAGAAAGGGGGCTGCCTACCTGCCAGGAGGGTCCCTCACAAGCATCACCAGGACCCTGATCTTGGACTTAAAGCCTCTCAAACTGTGAGAAAATAAATGTCTGTCGTTGAAGCCGCTCAGTCCATGGTATTTTGTTGCAACAGCTCAAGGTGACTAATACAACATGAGAAAAGACTCTAAATTGCCTCTTCTCCCTGCTTCTTTTTTCACTTGTTTTCACTAGGTCTCCTTGGAAACTGTGCCTGGGAGGAGGTCCGGCTGCGGAGACGGACGTGTCTGCCCTCAACTCGCCCAGACACTGCGGGGGAAGGAGGGGCAGGATGCAGCCGCTGTGGGGATCCTCGCAGGCTCCCCCAAAGAGGTTTCCAACTCTAAAAACTATTTTTAAAAGAACCACAGTAGCAATAAGGGAGCTGAGGGTCCCTTATTTTCACATTTTCATCGAACACAGGGGAAGCCCTTAAGAGGAAGAGCACCTTTTAGAAACAAAGCCAGTGGCTAAGATTTCACTCTCTCGTCGGAACGCAGTGAGTCTCCGTGGGACCCAGCCTCCACGTACCCCAGATGGAGGTGTCCCCTCCGACCACCTCCAGCAGAGACATGTTCTGAAAGGCGGTGAGGAACGCGGCAGACACCTCCCGGACATCCACGTCTGCGACGATCAGCAGGGTAAACTCCACCACGATACTGCCATTGGCGATGCGGGTCACCTCCACCCGCACCCCACCTGTGTCCAGGAGCTGACGCATGGAGGCTGGCAAGGAATCCCGCACCTTTAGAGAAACAGGGCTGGTGAGGAGAGCCGCCCGCAAGAGGGGAAACGGGGCGCTCGTCCTGAGGGGGTCCTCCTGGGGTTCCGGCCAGCAGCCGGCTGGCCTCGGCAAAGAGGTCAAAGCCTCACGTCATCTCGGGCCCCCGCCTGTCTGCCGCATCCCCAGGCCCAGCACAAATGCAGGGGGTTCTGAGACACTGAGCCCCATTCCCCCCCAGCCAGCTGGTGGGCACGTACCCTGTGGGCTTGTAACTTGGGAGGGGGCTGAACGAGTGGTCATAGGAAGGGACACCACCTTCCCCACTGCGTTTTTTCTAGAACAGTCCTGTGAACCTCATGCTGCAGAACATCCCGCCTTCCCTTCTGCCTCCTGCTTTGCTGAGAACCGCTTCCCTGCGGACGTCCTAGGGGGACAGGTGGTTCTCACCTGTAAACGCCTTGTTTACTGCTCTACGTTTGGACAGAATCCTAATCACACACTGTATTATTCCATTCTCTCCTATCAGGGCCGAAATGCCCAGAAAGGCACCCTATCTTAGAATGAGCTGTAAGTAATCCACATAATGCAACGTGCTATGGAAGAGCCCCCCTGCACGGTTTGCCCGCACAGAGAAAACCTCGTCTTCATCTGAACCCGCATGAGGTTCAAGGCCCAGGCAGATGGGTTCCCAGCCTTGGGACAGCCAGCGTGAGCAAGTGTGCTGTCGCCCGTCGGAGGCTGCAGATGCCTGCGAGACCCCAGAGCCACCTGCAGCCACGCGGCCGCCATCATTATCCTCGGAATAGTTTGTCTTCTGTCTCCGTCTCTCTCTCTCTCTCTGGGGTTTCCAGAGTGGGATCTGTCACAGTCGGGTTAAAGTCATTTTTGTCTGCATCTCAAGCCAGTCTCAAAGCAAAGTTCCAGGCCCTTTGGTAGGAAGTGACAAAGAGCAAGGTGACACATTAACCCACAACCTCCCCGAATGTGTCTTAATGTCCTACACACGTGTTAAGGTGCACAGTTGTTTGCTGTCCTGAAATTCTAGACAGATAAAAACTTTGGCCCCATATAGGCAAAAGACGAAATGCTTTAAAAGGGCAAGATTAATCAAGGAACTGGGGTGGCAGGGACGCTGCCTCGTGTGATGCTAGAGACACAGGAACTGATTTCAGTGGTCGTTGCTTAATGTGACGTGTAACTGTGATTTACCCTAAAGAAGATGACGATACTCGTGTGAATCGAGCCATCAACAGCTCTTGAATCCACTCACTGGGCCAGGAGCCGGGACCTCAGAATAAATAGAGCAGGAGCCCAGACCCCAGGGAGCCCGAGGGGACAGTTCCTGGAGGCAGCATGCTGGCTTTATCGGGGAGGAGCGCCTGTGCGTGTGGACAGCCTCACCCAACACTGCAGCCGCCAGCATCACCGACGCGCCATCATGCTACTCCACCAGTAGGTGGCGCTGCCAAGCCCTCTCCAGCCCACGTCCTAACCTCCCAGAACTTGGAAAAGCTAAAATGTAGAGATGTCGTCTGTGCAAACAAGAGCCCTAGATTAAGACAAGTGCATTCTCTATTCGCCAAAGGGCAACCTAACCACCAGCGAAAAGAATGCTGAGGCTGCTACCCTAACTGAATAGCAACAATGGACCTTCCCAAAGAGGGCCAGTGGGACGGCAGAGGGCACTGAAAGAGAGCAGGAAAAAGAATTTTTAGGGCAGGGATCATAGCACTGTTATTCACAGTAGCCAGAAAGCGGAAGCCACCCAAATGTCCATCGAATGACTGGATAAACAGAACGTGGTCTGTCCGCACAATGGAAGCAAGCCCTAAAAGGGATGAAGTCCTGATACTGGTACGAATGGATGAAGCTTGAGGACATCACACTCAGCGAGATAAGCCAGACTCAAAGGGGCCGAACTGTATGATTTCATTTCTATGAAGCATCCAGAATAGACAAACCCATAGAGGCAGAAAGCACATGCCTGGTTCCAGGGGCGCAGAGAAGGGGCGAGGGTGAGCGACTACTGATGGGTATGGGGTTTCTTTTCTGAGACGATGAAAATGTTCTGAAATTAGGTGGTGATGAAGGTTGCACAACTTTGTAAATACAGCCCGAACCACTGAATTGTGCACTTTAAAAGTGTGAGTTTTCACGGACATCAACAACAAACTATGGTTACAGAGGGGAAAGGGGGTGGGGGGCTGCATTAGGAGTCTGGGATTAGCAGATACAAACGACTGTATACAAACTAGATAAACAACAAGGTCCTGCTACACAGCACAGGGGGCTGTATTCCGTATCCTGTAATAACCCATAATGGAAAAGAGTCTGGAAAAGAACCTATATGAAGATGTGTAGCTGAATCACTGCGCTGTACACCAGAAACTAACACAACACAGGAAGCCAAGTACACTTCAGTAATTTTTTTGAAGTGTGAGTTTTCTGGTGTGTGAAACAGATCTCAATGTTCAATTTCTTTCCTTTTAAGGCGGGGGCGGGGAGGCTTTCTGCTCCTCGGGACCCCACGTCAATAAAGAAGTCGCCCTAAGCAGGAAGCGATGCGAGGCAAGGACACAGCAAGAGGAGGAGGTGTGTCTGCCTCCTGCTGCCGTGACTAATGGCAGATCCAGGACACACAGGCACCACGCCAGAGCCAGAGGCGCCAGCTTCCTTCAGAAACGAGGAGCTTGCAGCATCTTCAGGTTTGAGTCCTGGCTGGCCGCGACTAGGATGCTACCACCTCCCTCAATCACGTCCCAAAAGAAAAGGAAGAAGATTCCGCCAACGTACCGCCCTGAAGAGCAGCCGCAGGAAGGCCTGGTACTCCCCGCTGCTCGCGTTGCGGAAGGATTCTGAATACCTGACGTTCGCTATTCTGACCTGTCCGCTGAGCTTCTGGGCCGCTGCAGGACGGAAAACAAACATGTTTGGAAGGGTACGTAACAGGTGCCAGATTATCAGCTCTATCTTAGTAATAGTGTTTCTGTGTTGGCCAGGAGCAGCATCACACTGAGGCTGAGCTGCACTGTGTAAAGAAGGAACGGCACCCGGGACACACAGACACCGCCCACCAGACTCTAGGGGGCGGCAGGACAAAGCCTGGGCACAGAGGGAGAGCCTCCTGGAGGCCACGGAGCTCAGCCACTGCAGCCCTGTCCTGCCTGCCAGGGCGGTGACCTGTGCACGGGGTGCCCACGTAACCCACCGGCCGGCTGGGGCAGCTCTGCGAGTGAAAGGAGGCCCTCTGTGGTGACGGCGCCAGGGCCACGGGCGTGCGCCGGCGGTGCGGGCCAGCACGGCGTAGGATCGCCTTGCCGAGTGCCTGCTCCCGACAGACCGCCCTGGGGTCCTGCCGCAGCCGGCTCTCCTCCCCCGCAGCCCTGCCCCTCTGCGGGTAAGGGCAGCTCCTGCTTTCACGCTGGTCTGTTCCATCTGAATCGTCTCCCTTCCAGTGGGACTTCTGAGAGTACGTGGCCCGGGAGCATCGCCCGGCCGCGTCCTGGCTTCCAGCGTGGCCGCCGTCTCCGGTCCCGCTCAGTGCCTCGCCAGGGATTTGCAAAGCACCCGCTACACGCGGGGCGTTCTGGACAGCGCAGGAGGAGGACCAGGTGGTCCTGTCGGGGGCTGAGAGTCCCTCCCCCAGAAGCTTGCTGCCCAGACGTGAGACAAACCACAAAGCCACCCCATTATGCATTCCTGGGTGAACCCCAACCCCATGTCCTCAGGTTCACGGCTCTCACTGTGCCTGGGAGCCACCGGTCCAGACTCCAGCAACTAGAGTGACTGACCTGACCTGAAATCCACCAGGTGCACAGGTGAGAGCAGGTGCGGACCCGTCTCAGGCCAGGGTCACACGCTCATGGGCAGCTCCGCCCTGTAGGCGCGGGTGAGACCTTCAGAGGCCCAACCTGCCCTGAACGCCCAGCCCCAGCTCCCAGACTCCTCTGGGGCTGCCCTGCCTGCCTGTCTGGCTAGCAGTGACCTCCCCTTCCCCAGCTCGCCACCAGCTTACGTGTGGCGTCGTCACCCACCTTCCCCGCTCTGACTTCCCAGTCCACGGCTAATTCGTACTTCAAAGCATACAAACAAGAGTTCTAAACTTTCCCAGCTGCACCCTAACAGGTCATCTTAGGCATCTCCCGGGGGTGTGCACCCCACCTTGGAGACCACCACTATCAACTCTTGGACAGCTGCCCAAGCTCGGAGGACTTCTCTGCAACATCAGGTCCACCCTGGCTGCTCAGCTAAGTCAGACATTCAGGAAAACACATGGGTGACAGTTTCCCTGCCGTGCACCCGTGAGGACGCAGGTGAGCATCTGTAACCTCTGCAGAGTCTGGAACACTTTGCAACACAGCCTCATGGCCCACCGTCTGCCCAGCACCTGTCCCTGAAATAAGCCACCTGCAGTGTGGCCTTCACACACCAGCTGAGCATACATTGAGCCCAATGTTCCGAGGCGGAGAAGGAAGCAGAAACCCAGACGCCCACAAAGAAGTCCAGCTCCTCTAAACACCCAACCACCCAGGCCCTTTCCTCCGCCCTTTGAGAATCAGTGGTGATGGCGCATCTGAAGCCCCTTACCTGTCCTCACTCTCAGGTGGGCTCTGGAACTTTCTTCCCCACATGCTTTGGCCACGATCTCAACCAGGTGCAAGACGCCAGGCTCCAGGTCGGACAGAGTCAGACTTGCGTTCTGGGTCTCCAGGTGCACTGCAGGGCTCCGAGCAGAAATCAGCGTGAGCTGGAAAGTGGGGTGCAGGGTGAGATCTGTCGCCCACGCCACGTGGAAGCCCGTGCTGGTCACATTGGAAACTGTGACCCTGCCGATGGAGACGGGAGCTGGAAAACAGAATATAAATGCTCTGATTAAAATCAATTCAAGGATCCATTCTGAGGACACAGGCAAAGAGAAGCCTCACCCCACTGCTCGGGGACACGAGTCCTCAGGGACGCCAACCCAGGGGGAGTCAAGTCCCCTGGCTGCTGGCTGCACAGGCCGGTGCACGGTCCCTGACTGCCTCCTGAGCCCTGGGCTCCCGGGGATGGCCCCCGCCCCTCAGTTTTGCCCTGTTTCCCAGCCTGAGGTCCCGGGACTTGGAGAAACCAAGTTTCCTTGAGCAGGTTCTGAGGGGTCCTCCAGAGCAGCTGTCCCCCTCAAGCCCTGGGCAGAGTCAGGAGGAGTCAGCCGGGGGGCCATCTGGCTACAGCCATTCCTACAGGGGACCCGAGGTGGTGTACATGGGCTGAAGGGTTTAGTCTAGGATCTGGCACTGTTCAGCAGAGGAAATGCATCGATGGAGTTACACTTAACAGTTGGTTCCATTTGGATGCAACCCAGGGTCAGGCTGGCTCAGTGCTCTCACACAAGGATGCCAGCACCGCCTTCTCGGTGGGGGCTGCACGGCCAGGCCCTTTCCTGCACAGAGGCTGCCTGTCTCCTGGGACATCACCCAGGGGTCTCAGTGATGGCTAAACACCCTGAAAGTAGTGAGCAATTTGGAACAGCTGGGGGCTGCATCAGGGTACGGGGTTGGTACTCCTGGGGGTCTATACTTGGATGGGGGGCTATAGATGTTGGGGGGCTGCACCAGGCTAGGGGTACAGCACTGCTAGGGAGGTGCAGAAATGTTGGGGGCCCAACACTGCTGCTGAGGGGCCACCTGCTCAATGCGCTTAATGCAACTCATGCCTGACTTCCTGCTCCAACCGCCGGCAACCAGGGAGGTTTTGGAAGGGGGAGGACAGGGTTGGAGGGAAAGTGGGGAGACCAAGGTCCGTCCTAACTAGACTGGACTCCAGCCGCTGAGGGCCGGGGCTGCTCTGCACTGGGTTTGCACAGCCATGAGGTGAGTGCTCCACTTCGGAGCTGCAGAGCAGCCTTCAACCAGACGACGGTGTGAGCTTTGCCAAGGGAAACACACACCACGTGGCTGCACTGGTCCCTCTGGGACGCACATCCCAACCACTCACCGCAGGCCGGGATCTTTGGAGATGCAGGGGCTGGGGCTGAGGGCAGGTCTGGGGAGCTGGAGGGTCCAGGGTCCGAGTTCTGAGGCCACGTGGGGTCCAGAGGTGCTGGCAGTGTGTCCCTTGTTGGGAGGCTGGCATGCCACTCAATGTGGCCCGTGGGTCCTTCAGTAGGAGTGGGCCAAAAGGGCGGCTCCGTAGTGGCGTTTGGAGGCAACCCCCCAAGGGGGTCCAGCAAGATGTCTGCAGCCCGGGGGAGGGAGCTGGGGGTTGGCCCAGGAGCCCTGGGGGAGAAGGCGGTGTTGGCCACCCTGCTGGCTGTCCACTGGCCAGTCTCCAGGCCTGGGGCCGTGCTGGCCTCCTCCTCCACGCCTTGCCCTGTGCTCTTACTACCGTAGCCGACCGTGCCACTGACCCCTCTCCTGGGTGGGGGCCCTGGGGTCCAGGCCTGGCCCACCGCAGGGGTGTCCCATGGGTGCGCGGGGCTGGGTGACCGGGCAGGGGTCTCCAGGCCAAGGGCTGTCGCTTCTGTGCTGGGAGCTGGGGCTGTTTCCCCTGTCACTGGAGTCAGCACAGCTCCCGTGGGGCTCACCACGTCACCTGCCAAGACACAGCCACTCTCAGAAGGGGCATCTGGTCCACATGAGTCTGAGCAAGAGCAACGCCCCCCACAGGTGCACCCCGAGTGGGGACACAAACTGTCCCAGGGGGTGATTAAGAACGTTTCAAGGGACCTGTGTTTGCAGTCTCCCAGGCGCTCTCTTTGGAAGGCCACGGGGCCTGTCCCTGTGGTCAGCAAGGGCGCTCGACCCTGAGAGCAGGGCCCCACTGGGGCGGCTGCAGACCCCCGACACCAGTGCAGGGCTTGGTTCTCGCAGGCCTCAGACTGATCCCTTGGGCCTTCGGGAAAGTTCCCCCAAGTGTGTGCTCTGTGTGGGGCCTGGTGCTGGCCACTCACCAGCTTGCTGGGCATGGCGTGGGTGGACGGGAGAAGGAGGCTGTGTGGCTCTGAGGAAGCAGGACAGTGCGTGTGGCAGGTAAGGACCGGAGGCTCTCTCCCCAGGGAATTGCTCTCTGCTGCTGCTCCAGATAGAGGGCCTTAGCAGGCAGGGCAGGCAGGTGGCTGAGTGCCTCTGCTGCCCACTGTGTCCAGAGCAGACACTGCCAATTGATCACAGCATTTTAAGTCTGGATGGGACCTCCCTCTGTTTCTCAACTCGGCACTCCAGGTGACCCCAGCCAGCCAGTCAGAACTGGCCCCACAAAAAACTTGGGGCCGAGGCATGCCAAGACTGGGGCTCAGGCCCCACATCAAGACCATCTCCATCTCACCTGGGCTCTTCCACCCTCGGGCTCCAGCCACCCAGGGAGGGACCTCGCTCCTGGGTTGTGTCATGACTTTCTCAGACCCTTCCATTCATAAAAATAATGAAAAATCATACTGTAAAATACTGATATGAAGACTGGGTTCATCACTGATGTTTGCTGTCATTATATAGATTTCTTTCTTTTGGTTTTAAGAGAAATTAAATCACTCTCGTGGGCCCCTAACAGTATGGTGGGCCCCGGGCACTGTGCCCACCCTGCTTGATGGAGAAGCTGTCCCTGCTCCGCCCCAGGCCCCCAGGGAGGAGGCACAGCCCGGAGGCGGGGGGTGGGGGGTGGGGGGGCAGCGGGCGCACCCTCACAGGCCCGGCCCGGTCTGGAGGGGTCGGCGTCCCTGGCTGTGCGGCACCGGCAAGTGTACGAGCCCTCGAGGTTGATGCACCGGGCGGCCGGCGAGCAGTCATGCTCCAGAGTGTCCGCGCACTCGTCCCAGTCTGCCGGGCGGGAAGGAGACAGGACACAGGCAGTGAGGAGGTGGTCAGAAGCTGCCCAGAGAGCAGACGGGCCACGGAGCGGAGTTCTTCCTGTCTTTGCAGAGAACAGCTGGGGGGACGTGGCGGGGCATCAGTGAGGCCCTTGGCGCCCAGCCCCCAGGGGGAGGCCCTGCCCAGAGCCCTCCCTGGAAGCCTCTGTGTGAACCAAGCTGCCAGGCTGCATGCCTCCTGCGCCCACCTCCCCCGTGGCTGGCTGATCTGGGCAGGGGTTAGGGGCGTCAGTTCCTTTGGGGACATTAGCACCCACAAGGGTGAACACAGTCCCCTCTTGCTCATTCTTTGCTCCCAGGGTGCTTTCTCTTCTCTCTGATGTGCCAACATCCCCTAACACTTAGTGTCTCAAGAAAGAAACAAAAATCGCGGAGCCAGGAGGTGCCCAGTTAGTGGAACATGAACCTTCCGAGACACGGAGAGGAACAGCCCTGCAACTCCTCCCACCTGAGTCCGGGAGGCGACTGTCGGAGCCCGAGGGCCGTGCCCCGGGAAGCCCGGAGCCTTCTGACTGGAGCAGGGAAGTCTGTGAAGGAAGCCCCCCTGCCTGTAAGCCCTTCTTGCTCGACCTCTCATCACGCAATCCAGCCCCCAGTGGCCAATCAGCGAGCAGCCAGGACCAGCTTTAGGCCACATGGAGGCAAAACTCACCAGGAGGACCATACCTCCTCCTCCTCCCAGCCTCTCCTCTCCCACTTCTGCTCCCCCAGGTCACCGCCACCCCCACCCTCGTCCCTTCCCCAGGAAGGAATCTGACCTCCAACCTGCAGGCTGCTTGATGGGGCTGGAGCCAGGCTGGCCAGACAGCAGGGCCCCTAGAAGAGCGGAGGCCCCGGTCGAGACCTGGGCTCAAACCGCAGAACCCCGGGAGGCCACCTTGGGGTGGTGACTCCCCTGGCCTTCGCTCCCCCAGCACATGGCTCGGGAGCAAGGCTGAGTGAGATGCAGGCAGCTCCATCTGGTCTTGCAACAAAGCCCGAGGCCACATGGTTTTCTGATTCTGAAGGAAGAGGCAGGTCTGTGCACCATGAGAGCTGCCAGGTGGCCTCTGCACCTCCTGGGCCATCAGACAAGGACACAGGCAGGAGCCCGGTGCGGGTCTGGGACAGGAATGTGGCCCACCTCCCAGAGGAGTGGGGCAGCCGTGGCAGAGCTGCGCCTCCTGGCACAGGTGAGACCTCAGAACGAGTCGTGGAGGACCCAGGACAGGCCGCCCCTTCCCTGCAAAAGCAGGCTCCTCGGGGGGCCCCAAGCTGTCTCTGAGGCCTGGGCGGCCTTTGGAGGTGAAGCCTCGCCAGAGCCCTCAGCCCTTCCTGGGGCCGGCGTCAGAGTCTCAAGGAGGAAGATGGGCACAGAGAACCTGGTTCTAAGGGCACCACCCACAGAAGCTGGACCAAAGGCAGTGCCACCCAATCTGGATTAAGAAATGCCACACCAGCAGGCCAGGTGGATGGTGACAGCCCCGGGGCCAGGCTCCCCAGCTCACACCCCTTCTCCCGCCGCCCACAGAGACACAGAAAGGGCCACTGCGTCTGAAGTGCTGTTGGGAGCCAGCAGCCGCGGGGAGCTTTGGGGAGCAGTTCGGCCTGTCCTGAGCCTGCCCCCCACTGCTGTGGTGACCCAGGCGGCCTCACACAGAACGGGGCTGCGGTTAGAGCTCGTCTGGCTGGCGTCTGCGCAGACATGGAGGCACAAAGGGGCCACAGAGTGGAGGCCCAGCCGGTCAGCGCGCTTAGAGCAGATGAGCGGGGTGGCCCTTACCGAGCAGATTTCAAGGAAGGGTAGAGGCAGGGGCTGGAGACTCAGGGAGAGTGACGGGGCGGCAGGAGGGAGAGGAGCCCCTGGAGGAGGAGGAACTGCCGTCAGATGTGTGCTAGGCATCACGTCATTCGCCCCCGAGGTGGGCCGCGTCCTAACCTTCCTGCCTCCTGGATAAGCACATGGAGGCCCTTGTGCAGGGCCCAGGGTGAGCGAGCGTCAGAGCTGGGACCCCCGCCCGGCCCATGAAGTACCTGCTGAGTCAAGACTCCTGTCTTGGGGCAGCACGGGTGGGACTGGACCCGGGGTGCTGCCCGCCCTCAGGCCTCCAGCACAGGGCCCACCCCTCGGGGAAGAGCAGGACACGAGGCCACCCGGTGACCCCGGGCGCACTGACCTCCGGGAGAAGATGGGGTCAGAGCATCGTGACCCCCATGCTGCTGGGACACGTCGACCCGCGGGAGGCAAGAGCGCCCAGCTAACCCAGCATGCTCGGGGTGCAACCGCACCGTTCCCGTGGGGGCTGCGGAGGAGAGTTTTCTGTGCCGCGGTTTGTTGACTTTGAGCAGAAGGGCAACGGATGGGCTTCTCCAGTTCCCAGGCTGCGGGGCTGGGGGCTCTTGAGGGGTGGATGGGCGGGTGCGGGGAGAACAGCTTCCCCACACTCGGGTCAGGCCTGCGCGGCCTCCCCAGGTGGGGGCGGCAGCCTGGGGGCTGCTCTCGCGCTCTGGTGTCAGAAGCCAGCGGGAACCGGGTCAGGGGACTCGGAGCGGGGCGGGGTTGCCGCCTCGTCGCTGGGCGAGGACAACTCCCCGGCCCAGGGGGGGCTCCCCAAGACGCCCTCAGCTCCCAGATGTGAAGCAAACCGCCTCCTGCTTGTCAAGGGCACCGCGGTGACAGCCTGCCCAGGGCTCCCAACTTCCCAGGGCGCCTCTAGAACTACATGGGGAGGCTTAAAACGATCTGCTGAGAAGCCTGGGGTGTTAGCAACGCAAGGTACCCCTTCTTCTTTGTGTAAGTTTGCTGAGGCTGCCATGACAAACTGTCGCATGCTGTCAAGCTGGCTTAAAGCAACAGAATGCACTCTCCAGTCCTAGAGGTCAGAGTCCAAAATCAAACTGTCGGCAGGGCCCAGTGCCCTCTGGGGCTCTCAGGGGAGTCCTTCCTGCCTCTTCCAGCTTCTGGTGGCCCCTGGGCTTCCTTGGCTTGTGGCCGCATGCCTCCAGCCTCTGCCTCCATCTTCATGTGCCTCCTCCAGTGGCCCTGGGTCTCCTCCTTTTCTGTTCCTTCTAACGACACTGTCACTGGATTTAGGGCCCACCCTGATCCAGGACGATTTCAGAGCCTTACCTTAATTTCATCTGCAAAGACCTTTCTTCCAAATACGGTCACATTTAAAGTTCTGAGTGTACTGTCTTTTGGGGCCACCACTCAGCACACTGCATCGTTTGACCTACGCCCAGGTGCACGGGGACCTGGCTGGGAAGCATCGCTGGAGGCCTGGGCTGGGCCACCTGATGGCTGCTCAGCTCTGTCTCAGGTGGGCTCTGGGGGCGCACACCAAGGACACACCCACTTGGTGCCTGGTGCCTGCCTGGCTCTTAGCCCCTGAGCCCAGGCAGGCAGGGCCACCCAGGTGCCGAGGGCCACTCAGGGAGACCCCAGGCTACGCAGGCAGGTGCTTCCCAGGTGTGACTTCAGGCGTGACTTTCCCACGGCCTTCCCTGGGTTGGGTCGGGGCGGGGGCGGTTGGGACAGCAAGCCGACACACGATGGAGCTCAAAGGGCACTGCAGGGCTCACTCTGGGACCCAGCTCCACTGCGGGGTCAGAGGGACGCCCATCCCACAGACTGGGCCCCAAACAGGCTCTCTGACGTAGGGACCGCGGTGCCCTCACTGCGCGCAGGACCTGCATCCCGGAGTATGACGGCAAAGCCTTCCCGACACGACAGCGCACCGCCTCTGTCCCTGCTTCTGTCTCTCACCTCCCCTCGTCCCTTCTGCTCCCCCCACATCTCTCTCTGTCTCTCGGTGTCTCCGTCTCTGTCTTATCTCTGACCGTATCCTGCATCTCTCTCTCTGTCTCTGTCCCCTCCCCACTCTTCTGCTGACCTGTGACTTCCTGCCTCAAGGCAACTCCAAGCAGAATTACAGAACGTTCGATCTCCTGAAGTAGATCCATGTGTCAGTGCGAGGTCCAACGGCCGGGCGGTGCTTGGACTTGGACGCAGACACAGTGAGCTCCCCGCCTTCCTGCCCCTTGGGGATCCCCCAGCCCGGTTCCCTCCTCGGTTCTGGGCCCACGGCCCCAGAAGCATCATCCAAGGGAATAAGCTTCCCCGGGCTCCACGGGGTCGCTTCTCCCACCAGGAGGTGCGGGGTGCAGGCGGGCTCACTGGCGGGGGCTGTGGCCTGAGGGCCCCGTGGAGGAACCCAGGGGCAGGGCTCAGGGTTCATTTTCTTTAACTACCTTTCAGAATAAAGTGAACATTGAGCAGAAACAACACTGCCTGGACTCGAGGGCATTGCGGCGGCGCCCAGGTGAGGGGATGAGGACTCACCTTGCACACGTGTCCCCTGCGGGTCGATCCGGAACACGCTGCTCGCCCACAGTGGCGGGAGCATGGGGGCCAGCGTGGACACACCCACTGGGAACTCGGGGTCCCATGCTGTGAGTCTGAGCCTCACGACCACGCTTCCAGCCTGGAGGGACACGATCTGTACCCTCAGCTTCCCTCTTCTGTACAGATCGGAAACCGCTGGCGGGAAGGAGTTTTCAACCTGGCCCAGAAGAGGCAACAGACACTCAGACAGAGCAGACTCTCCCATCACATCTTCAGAATGGTCTAGCGGGGCCCCAGGCGAGACCATCGAAAGGGGCCCAGAGTCTATGTGTCCCCTTTATGGCCAGGAGGCCCCCCAGCTCACGGCACCCCTGGGACAGGAGGCTGGGTCTGTCTGCCTTTGTGAGAACTCAGAGACTACTGCAGTCTGGGCCCCATCATGCACAGCCTGCTCTGGGTGCTCCGGAAACTGGTAGGAAGGTAATTTGTGAGAGACAGACAGACAGTGGGATTGACCTCTAGACTGAGTGGCCAAGAGGGGAGGGGCTGCTGAGGGACAATCCTGTGGCTCTTTGGAGCTGCTCCCCCTCACTGGGCTGTATCCCCTAGGCAGCACCCAGGCACAGCCAGGGGCTTAGGGCCAGCCGTGCCCGAGCAGGGGAGACACCAGCCTTGCCCCACCTTCCTCCCACACCACTCCTGCACATGCAGGTGAACTCCTGCTAAAAAGGAGAGAGAATTCTCCAAGAAAGTTCTAAAAATGACTCCCCCTGCAGGTGCACACTGAGGGGCGACCCTCCTTCCTTCTCTCCCACGTCCATACATCTTGTAAGTAGAAGCCCTAACTGCCCTCTTGCTCCAGAATATCTTTCCAAGTCGTTTGTATGATGAACAGCTTTGGGAGAGAGAGAATGGCCCTGCCCAGAGCAAGGGCAGATCTGCTCACTGTCGGATGTCATAAAGTTCACATCTCTTTCTGGAGCACACATAGGCGAGTTGGCTTGCGGGTCCTCGGCGGTGACACTGGTCCACTGCAGGTGTGCCACCTGCCTGGTTCCCTCTGTGTCACCCCCTAGGGACCTGGCACCAAAGTTGTGCTCGTGCCTGCGGGGCTGTGAGTGATGAAGTCCTTTGTCTCTGACCCAGGCATCTCATGTCCTCTGCCAGCATCCACGGCACAGGCTAACTTACTAGTTTGCAGGAAGGACAAAGTCACAGTTCTGGACAGTTCAGCAAGTCGCTTTTCACTCCAACTCAGCATCCAGGTTCTCCCAGGCTGTGTTCTGATACCTCCCTCCAGCCCCAGGGAGGAATGGATGCCAGAATCAGTGGTAAATGCATCCTTAAAAAGCTGCCCCAGAGCAGCAGGGCAGAGGCCCCAGGTCCCCCAGAAAGCCCAGCTGAGCCACCAAGTGGCACAGCCCGTGTGAATCGGGGTGGTTTGGCCCCAGATCTAGATTAAGCGCCCCATAAAAGGGGGCACTTTGAGTAATCACTGTGGGATTTGGGCACGGCCCCTCCCCAAGCGTGGTGGCGTGTGCTTGTCCCACAAGCGCACAGGGCGTTCAGCGGCACAGGCGGGCTAGCACGGGTTTCTGGCTTGGACCCGGGGGAAGCTCCTCTCCCGGCTTTACCTCGTGCAGCAGCTGTCGGGAGAAGTTCCGGTACTCAGGGCTGCTGCGGTCCAGCAGCCTCTCCGTCACATTGTGGTTTAGGATCCTCACCGTGACTTCAAAGACCCAGGCATCTGAGACAGAAGACAATGCAAATTAGCTGCAATCCGGTGAGCACGAGTCACGTGCCTTCCTGTCAGCATTTTCCAATTTCCTCCACGCAAAGCAGCGGTGACACTACACAACACAGCAGAGGAGTTGGAGTTGGTCAATATTTTTAGGACATTACATCCCCCAAAACATAAAATACACTCTTTTCAAGTGCGCATGGAACATTCTCTAGGGTAGATCACATACTCAGGCTCGGAAGAAGCCTCAACAAATTTAAGAGGATAGAAATTATTTTAAGCATCTTTCTGACCACAATGCCATGAAACTAAAAATCAACTACAGAAAAACAAATGAGAAAAAAACGACAGCCTGGAGACTAAACAGCATGCTTCTAAAACACCAGTGGGTCAGTGATGAACTCAAAGAAGAAATCAAAACACTTTGAGACAAATGACAATGAAAAAACAACACAAAATCTACAGGACGCAGCAAAAGCAGTCCTAAGAGGGAGGCTCACGGCGGTACAGGCCTTCTTCAAAAACCAAGCACAATCTCAAACAAACAGCCTAGCCCACCACCTGAAAGAGCTAGAAAAAGAAGCGCAAGCAAAACCCGGAGGCAGCAGGAGGAAGGAAATAATAAAGACCAGGAGGCAATGAATAAAATAGAGATTAAAAAACAGTAAAAATCGATCACAACAAGAGCTGGTTTTTTGAAAGAGTAAACAGAATTGACAGACCTCTGGCCGGGCTCACCCAGAAGGAAAGAGAGGACACACATAAACAAAATAAGAAAGGAAAATGGAGAAATTACAGCCAGTGCTCCCCCTTTCCCTGCTCTTTGAAGGGGAAATTAAAAAAACAAAAAAAGATTGAGGCATGAGTCTTAGGTTTGGTCGCCAAATCGGGAGAAGGAGCACAAGGAGTGTATGTCTCAGCGCGGGGGAGAAGACCCCCCGGGCACAAACACACACTTCCAGAGCCCGAGCAGAGACACCTGCAGAGTGAGTACCAATGTCACACGCTCACACCCGCGGGAGCCGGGGCTCCCCAGCGCACGTGGCCCCTCCAGCAACTCCTCCCACATCACGACTGCTGCTCTCCTTGGCCCTTTTCACAACCACACACCCCAGCCAGTCCTCAGGCCGCACACCACCCGAGCCCCCAAAATGCGGGTAACAAATTTACCCCAATTTGCCCAAATTTTCCAGTTTTCCCACCCAAATTCCCACCTCTCAGGAGCCTCCTCTGTCCCAGGCAAAATGATAGGGTTGGTCACGCTACCCAGCTGGGCCGGGTCAGTGACCCCCAACCCAGCTCATAGGAAGCACAATGATTTGAATCATCGGCGCCAACAGAACTGAGCCAGAAACAAGCTGACAGGGAACGTGGCTTTGGACGAGCAGCCTTACCGGTCTTGACCGTCAGTGCAGCGGTGATGTTGGCCCCACACGCCTGGTAGCTGGTCTTCACCCCGTACCGCACTCCAGCCTCCAGCCCGGCCACCTCCAGGCTCGTCCCCCGGGTCCTGGAAGTCCTGAGCAGCTCCTCACCCTTGTACACCTGCACCTGGACACTGTGGTTCTGGGTGGAATTTAAACGCCAGGACACTTGAAAGCTGCTGCTGGTGACGTTGAGGGTCACGTGGTCTCTGATGGGCGGGCAATCTAGGACGTGCGGAGGGAGGAAGATGCAGAGAACGTCAGAGAGAAGCAGCGGGAGCAAAAGTCAACGAGCGGCCGACGGCAGACGGAGACGCTCCCGCACAGCGAGGGCGCCGCCCTCAGAAGGAGAAGGCCGCCTGCAGGCCGGGAGGAGGCCTGCTGGTCGTGTCGGGGAGGGCTCAGCGTCCAAAACACACGTGAGAAGCAGACCATGCAACCGCAGAAAGTATCGTCATCATAATCATCCCATTTAAAAATGGGCAAAGGATCTGAATAGACAGTTTTCCAAAGAAGACACACAGATGGTCAGCAGGTAAGCGGAAGGGAGCTCACCGCCGCTAATCCTCAGGGAGACGCACACAAAACCACGATGGGGGGGTCACCTCACACCTGTCAGAATAGCTGCTCTCCGAAGACGACAGATAACAAGTGCTGGGGAGGGTCCAGAGCAAAGGCGACCCTTGTGCCTTGTGGGCAGAGATGTAAGTTGGTGCCACCACCATGGAAAACAGTACGGAAGCTCCTCAAGAAATTAAAAGTAAAACTCCCATGTCCAGCAATTCTGCTCCTGGGCGTTTGTCTGAAGGAAATGAAATCACTGTCTCTGGGAGACACTGCTCCCCCAGGTTCACTGCTCCCCCATTTACAACAGCCAAGACACGGAAACAACTCGAGGTTCCTGTGGTAATGACCACTGTGGTGTGCCTCGGGCTGAGCTGTGCTCCCCTAAAATTCATGTGTTGGGGTCCTAACCCCCAGTACCTCAGAACAGACTGTATTTGGAGGTGGAGTCTTTGAAGAAGTTACTAAGCTAAAGCGAGGTCATTGGCGTGGGCCCTAAGCCAGTAAGGCTAGTGTCCTTACAAGGAGAGGAGACTGGGCCCCAGACTCGCAGAGGGACGACCACGTGGGGACACGGGGAGAAGCCGGCCGTCTTCAGGCCAAGAGGCCTCCAGAGGCGCCAGCTGGCCAGCACCTTGATCCTGGGCACCCAGCACCCGGACCCCGAGAGGGTCTGTTCTGCACTACGCGCCACAGCGGCCTGAGCAGGTGACCACGCGGCATGACGTTTCTGTGCTTCGTTTATAAACAGCCCCCCAGCCCAGATTCAGGGGGCCTGGTCCTCCGATGCACATGTGCCTGATCGCTTGCCCAGGGACTTCTGCTTGGATAATTCGCCGCTGAAACGGTGGCCCCTGGAGAAGCAGGACTCGGGTGTACAGCACGGCGTTTCAGCCACACACACACATACGTATATTCCTTCTCATACCCTTTTTCATTATACGTGACTACGAGATATTGAGTATAGTTCCCTGTTCCTATACAGTAGAAACTTGTTTTAACATCAGAATTTGAGTTCCATGAGAAATAAGTTAAGAAATTTTTTAAAAAAACAATCTTTTGCAAAACCATGGTTAAAAAAAAAAAGAATTAAAATATGTGCAACATTTCCAAAGCCCTTCATGTAAGGATCTTTAGGCTAAATGCTTTCTAGTATTACCGAAAAAAAAAAGGTCTTTCTAGACAAGTGTGTATGCTTCCTTTCGGTAACAGATAAAAACTGGTACAATTCAATGCGTTTCTTTTTGTCTTGGCTGCTGGGAGACTCAGGATCAAAGTTGGTGCCCCACTCTCGTCCTGCAACTCGGTCCTGCAGTGCCCTCCTCCCCGAGCTGCCAGCATAAACCACAGTGCCCTGTGGATATGTCCCCCCCACCGCCCCCACGAGCCCCTGCAGAACCCCACAAAGCAGGGGGTATAGACTGTTGGATGCTGGAGAGGGAGGGGAACCCAGCCCTCCCTCCATCTAAACTCATGCAGTTTCCGGAAGACTCTCCTTGTGTGGGGAGGCAGTGCACTTTGAAGAAGCAGCATCTGTCCTTTCACTGAATTGTCCAGTATTTATCCACATCTTTGACTCATAAATGTTCATTCTTTATGACACTGTCCTGTGTTACAGCTGAGGACTGGCCAGCAGCTGGGGCCCTGGGACTATGGATCTTGCCCCCAACCCCCAGTCACCGGGACCCTGAAATCAGAACGCCCCTTACTGGAGGTCTAAGCTCTGCAGCCTGTCCCCAGGGACATGTCTCACCAAGAAAGTGAGGAAGGGCTACAATTTTTCTAAAAATCGGCAAAAAGCGCCGAAAATTCTATCTCGTGCAGTCAGACCACAAAACCCCGAGCATTGTTTCAGTCCCACGGTGATGACATGACACCCAGCAAACAGGACAGGGGACGGGGGTGGGCACGAGGCCTGAGGGCCGGCTCCCACTGGGGCTGCGGCCCCGCCTCTCGGTTGCCCTCTGGGCATCAGACTCCTCATGGGACTGAGAAAAAACCCACATCCTGGGCCTGTGTGGAGTAGTCCTTTACAAGCACATTCTTTAGAGAGCACCTCCAGGTCGGGGGGATTAAAACAGAAAGGGCCCCCCAGGTACCGGGAGACCCAGGGACGGTGTTTAGGGAGCGTCTGAGAGGGCATCGGGCTGGCTGGAGACATGCTCACTCTTTGAATTAAGATGCCAGTGTGTTCCTAGATCACTGGGCAGAGGAGTCGCCAACCCGGCCGTTCCGATGGCTCTGAAACCCTCAGAGGCACCTGCAGGAGCTGCCGTCCGGCAGTGGTTTCTGCAGCTGAGAGACTATGAGCATGTGGCTTCTCGTCCCAAGTAACAGACCCTCCCTGGGGAGAGTGCGACCACTGAGTATCTGTGTAGCTCTTTCTCCGTGTTACTTTTAGGGACTTGCCATTGTCCGAATTTAACCATTTTTGAGCAATTGCAGTGGCAATTTCATACAGTTCAGCATTTATTGAGCATCTGCTGTGTACCTAGCACCGTCACAGCCAGTGGTGGAAACGAGGATGGATTCTGGCCCCCAGCGATGCCAGACACACACACGGGACATCTAAGTCAGCGTGGCCCGTGTTGTAGCACCGTGGGGACTTGGGGCTGTGGGGGCACTCCCGGGGTGGTGAGCACCCCGCCCACCACACACGTCACACTGCCATCCAAGCCATCAGTGACACCCTCAGAGCCACCACCGGCTGCGGGCTGTGCGCGCTGGGCGGGTTATTCCTTGCAGTCCTTCCAACAAAACCAGGTAGTGGGTTCTACTATGTTCCCATTTTACAGAGAACGAGACTGAGGTCTAGAAAGGTCAAGCAGAGAATAAATGGCAAAGCCGTCTAATAACCAGTGACAAAGGTCCTGGGCTGCAGTCCTAAACTACCCCACCACAAAAGTAGACTGGATAGTGCCCTCCAAAGACAGCAGCTCCTAATCCCTGGAACTTGTAAATCGGACCTTATTTGGAAAAAGCATCTTTGCAAGTGTGATTAAGGATCTGAAGAAGAGATTATCATGGATTATCCAGGGTGGCCCTAAATGCAATCACACGTGTCCCTGTAAGAGAGCCAGCAGAGAGCGCGCACACACACACACACAAAGGACAAAGCCGTGTGACAAGGGAGCGAGAGAGAATTGAAGACGCTGGCCCTGAGGATGGGAGTGATGTGGCCGCAAGCCAAGGAATTCGCGCGGCCCCCAGGAAGGAGGGGAAGGCAAAGGAGGGGTTCTCCCCAGACCCCTGGAGGGAGCCTGGCCCTGCCGACACCTTGACATGGGCCCCGTGACGACGTTGGCGGGCCTCTGCCCTCCAGACGCTGAGAGGATGTGTTTCCATCATCTTCAACCCCCAAGGTCGTGGTGTTTCATCACAGCAGCCCCAGGAAGCGAATCCACCTCCCAGATCTTCTTTAAGTAGTTTTCAAGGCGGCCATGGGCGGGGCAGCATGACTCGTTGGAAAGTTCTTTGTGTTGCTACAAAATCAGCCAACTTCTGACATCCGAAGGCTCATCCCCCATCTGTAGGGCAGACCTTGAGATGCGGTCAACGGCGCAGTCCTTCTCTCCCGACCCTTCTGTCGTCCCTCTGACTTGGATTTCAGTTCACTGGCAGGACACCCTCTGCTGCTGCCCTTTGGCTTTACAGCGTCCCTCCCTTGTAAAATGTGGCCCCAGGCAATAAACCCAGTTCTCGCCCAGGCGTGATCACAGGGCACCGCTGCCCTGTGGCCTCCCCAGGCCATGGCCGTGAACCTGGATTCAGGAGTTGACATTTATCTCAGGGAGGCACACAGGATT